CCAGAAAGATTGCGGATCGTCTCTATATCCCACTTGCTAGGAACAGTATTAAGAGCAATTTTTTAATCACACAGAAACATTATAGAGAGCATAGTGAAGAGAGGAAATTGCATGAAAGATATACCGATCTTCTGCTTATTCTCAAACAGACACTAAAAGCTGCTTCCCTTCGTATATTGTAATTTCTTAATGTTGGCACTATGATGGAAAAGCAATAATTATCGTCTTTTCTTCCCTGTATACTCTGCTGTATTTTCCATTTTGACCACTGGCCTTTTCCCATAGCCTGCATTTAGAAAGAAATCTGTATCGGATGACCAATATAATTAGTTGTAAGAGGGTTTGGAATAGAAGGCTTGCCTGCTCTTAAGAATTTAAATGTTGAATTCTGAAGTTGCCATTTTTTTTTAAACCTTTCCAATGCATTTCTTGTTTTTCATGCCTCTTCATAACAGGAGCTTGAGATGCAGGCTCGAGCTCACGGACTTTCCATCATGCCAGCCACGGGCCTTTGCTCTCCAGAAATGGTAAACCGGCTGATCAAACAAGAGCCTGTGCTTGACAACTGCAGCCAGGAAATCCTACAGCAACACCACCCTGCGCTTTCTTCCACGACTACTCTTGACCTTACCGACGGCACCATCACTTTCAACGGCGGCCTGGCAAATGTGACAGAATCGGCTACAAGCACTTACTCCGTCCCTCCCAAAATGGGGTCTAAACTGGAAGATATGTTGATGGATGACACCCTGTCTCCCGTCGGAGTTACTGATCCACTCCTATCGTCGGTTTCTCCCGGAGCGTCAAAAACAAGTAGCCGGAGTAGCAGTGTAAGCATGGAAGACACTGACCATGCTTGTTAGTGGATATCCTTAGATAGGCCTCTCACAAACTTCTTCGTTTTTCCTGATCAGTAGATTAAAGTAACTTTTCTTCTCCATTACCCCCCCTAATATTTGAATATATAAGTCTACGGATAGCTCAGCGTATATGTGACTTTTTTTAATGTTTGAAAAGACTTGTATATTGTTTTATAACTCCAGTGCTTCCAAAGTGTAGTACTGTATCTGTGAACTAGGATCATCAAGGAACTCCAAATGATTTCATCTCTACTCAGAAGCAATAGACCTCCACAGATCAGCAAAATGTACTAAAGAGGAAACTTCAGTATAACTAAGTAAAGTGACTTGGAAGTGAAATGAAGAAGAATGTATAGAAACCAAAAAGAAAATGAGCTTTGTATAAACTATTTTTCTGTTGACTTAATAGTGCCTCCTTTAAAAAAAAAAGTATACAGCATCTATTAATTCCTATAATCTTTCCCACGGTGATAGATACTATACATGTATCAATAGGTTACCTGTACAGAAACTAACTGATTTTAAGTACAGTTCAAGCTAGATTTAATGCCAAGATTCAGTGATATTTAAGTTCCTATTATTATCCATTAAGCGAGCACTCTTCAAAATTACGTCTCAAAAAGCATTACCTTTAAATAATCATGAGGAAATTATTTTTTAAAAAAATATTATACAAGACTTCATAATACAAACTTAGTATTTTTCTCTCAACAGGGCATAAAAAATCATTTCATCTTTTTTTNAGCAAGACAATTGTTAAGTGACTGGCACCCGATTTTAATTCTTTTGCCATGTTTGATAAGCAAATTAGTGCAGCGATTAAATCAATCATTAGTCATTAAGTGAAACTGGGATTTTCCCATTTGACTTTGCTTGTCGGAAACTGGCTGGGAAGGTCGCAAATGGAAATCATGGGACCCTGGGACATTACTGCCATCATAAGTACATGCCAGCCTCCATACTTTGATCAAATGAACTTGAGGATGCGCATAAGTTGTGTGAATCGGTCATAAGCCACTTTTTAAAGTGGTACTGCCACTTTGTGCTTAAGGAATGGTTGTAAGTTGGGGACTACCTATATATTCTTTATGTTCTAGGCCATGGGTGTCAAACTTGATCACATCACGTGACATATCGCGACGTATCATGACATTTTTTGGGCTTTGTGGAGCCGGGATGGGTGTGGCCTGCAGGTTACGTATCTGGCCTGCGGGCCGCCAGTATGACACCCCTGTTCTAGGCTTATTAGTCATACCTGTGGCAACAGATACTTTAAATGTTACTTGATAAGGGACTTCAGGCAAAATCCTAGTATGCTTGGATGTTTTAGTGACACTTTACCTACAAATTAGATGAGGTGTTATTTTTCAGTGCCCTAAAAGGAATAGAAATCCCACCTACCTTCCCCACCTACCCCTTTCAATCAAATCCTAAGGCTTGAATTTGATATAAAATTCTAGATTTCTTTAAGAATGTTGTTGGGAAATGTAGCAGCAAAATAGTTTATTTCAAAGTTACAAAATGGATGTAATTTATTTGTTAGGGAGAAGGAAGAAAGCATTTTATAATAAAAGAGGGTTATTTCCTTAAGTATAATAACTAGGAATAAATTTGGTTATCGAGAACTTTTTTCTTTACCACACGAGGGCAAATATATTTTGCTATTAGCATTTTAGTTATTCCAGTTTAATTGATCCCCTTTCTCTTTTCTATCCATTCTTAGAAAATCTGAATAATCATCCCTCTTTTTAACAAAAAGCCATGATCATGGGAACAATTAGTTTAGAAGACTAGTTTCATGTAACAATAAGATACCTTTACTATTTGGCCTTTCCTTTTAGGCCATTGAAAACATAGATCATGGGTTACAGCAGGCATGCCCATGGCCCACAGTCGCATGCAGCTCTGGACAGCTAATAACGTAGCCTCTTCACTAGCTTATATATATATAAGCCTCTTCACTAGCTTATATGATATATATATGGCCCAAGACAATTCCTCTTCACTCTCTGTGGTCCAGGCAAACCCAAAGGTTGGACACCCATGCTTTAGAGCCGTGATGGCGAACCTATGGTACCAAAGGTGGAGCCCCCTCTGCGGGCATACAAGCTGTTGTCCAGCACACGCGCTTCCCGACAGCCAGCTGATTTTCGGGTTTCTCCTGCAGGCAGGAGATGCGCGCGCATACATTTCTCCTCACTTTCTGCAGCCCATGTCTTCCCAGATCTCTGGAGATTCCCCCCCCCCCAGCATTGTTTTGCAAGGCTTTCCCCCCTCTCCAGTGCTGTTTTGGGATGGGAGGCTTTCCCTCCCCTCAGCGTTGTTTTGGGATGGAAAGCCAAAAGGGGGGGTTGCACGGGCATGCGCAGGGTGAGCATAGGGGTAATGCATGCAGTGGGGTGAGGGAAGCATGGGGGTGTCACATGCAGATGTGCAGAGAGTGGGGCACATGGGAGGGGCATTGCATTGTGGGTGTGGGCACATGTGTGCATGCAACAGCGTGTACGTGCTTTCGGCACCCGGGGAGTGCTTTCAAGTAACAGCTTTCAAGTAACAGCTACCATGGACACTTTTCTTTTATCCTAGAGGTCCCCAAACCTGGTCCATTGGGAACCGGGCTGTGCAAGCATCAAGCAAGCACACGAAGCTCCATTGATGCATGTGCAGGATTAGATTTCACACACAAAACCCTCTTCCCCCCCCCCCCAACCACCACCACTGTTGCCGGTCCGCAAGCCAGAAAGATTGCGGATCGTCTCTATATCCCACTTGCTAGGAACAGTATTAAGAGCAATTTTTTAATCACACAGAAAC